CGGCATTCGGGTACACATCTCAGGCACTAAAAATTCACTTCTTTCGGAGCATAAACCTTCTTGGACTTGAATTGAATTATCATTAGACTTAGCACTGAGCTGCGTTGGGAACAGCATGAGGGTTTACTTTCGAAGGTTTTACACCACATTTGGCCCAAATAGATCAGATAGGAATGTGTTATCTCGAACAGAGAATCTGATAGTTCACAAATGTACCATGTGATCACTTACCGAACATTATGCAATTATGGCAAATTACAGTTGGCAATGACAGACTGACATATACCTCAACCTGATACCATGTTAAGCAGATTAAGCAATTAGCCATGGATATGCATGGAAATCGACTATAGGTTGTCTGCATTGATCAAATGTTTCANTCTGGAGATGTGTTGTGCATGGTGAGTCTATTTGGGTCGTTCATTTTGAACGCCCGAACCACCACATAGAGAGATCGGTTAGCACGTTATTCATATAACAACTTACACATTCAGACGGACTATATACTGTTTGTTGAACCGTTACTCATGAACGAAACCAAACAAGTTGGAACACTTGATTTCATGATTGAGGACTATGATATCCAAAGCAATAATGAGTGGAGAACAGTGTAACTGTTTAAGCATAAGGGGAACGAAATTTATGAAAACGGTCGTTATGCCTATCGAAGGCTCCTTTAGAATTTGCCAAATTTAGGTGTCTGTGATGTTGCCATCTGCGTCTACCGCAGCAGTCACAAATGCCTTTCCGGATGTTTTGCATCTGTTTGCATCGCTTCGACTGAAGTTGATCTAATCACATCAATTTGTGCATGTTTTAAGATAGGCGCTCTTGTTGGGGCAGTGTGGGTTAATTTATTATCTATTCACTGTATAGTACATGGTGTATAGTATTGGGTGATCTGTCTAACAAGCAATGGATACGTAACATTGGGTCAGTGTACATTGTGTTCGTTTGTGTGCCGTCCATGCCTGCGTTCAAAACTCTCTTCGAGGGTTCTGATCGGCTTACAACTACAACACGTGTGTGTGTATCACTCTATTGTCTGTCACAAAGAGCCTAATTTGAAATATCATCTAACACTTTGTTTTTCCCTTCTTTGTCGCGGTCCCATTTCCCCTGACCCCGCGAATAGGGTTGGATATCCGGCGTGGATGAACGTCAAAAAACCGACGTCCACTATCGTTCACTGGACGGAGAGGGCAATTTCAATTGGCGTTTTGTCTTCCCCTTCCTCTACATCCCCAGTGAGAATATGGTCGTGGTAAAGAAAAAGGAGCATTTCTGGTCCTTGGATGAGACTGAGACACGCTGTCGACCGGCACTAGTCATGCAAGTTTGGGACAATGACCTGTTCAATCCGGACGACTTTCTGGGCACACTGGAGCTCCAGTTGTCCAATATGCCATCTCCGGCGAAAAATGCCAAGTCCTGCACACTGAATATGATGAACTCCGTCAGCCAGGATACAAAAATGGTGAATCTGTTTGACTGTAAACGATTGAAAGGATGCTGGCCGTTTATGAATGAGGAGAACGGAAATCAGGTTCTTACGGTGAGTTATTGGACTCTCTGTCTGATTGGCAAATATACCGGAAATTTTCGTTTTTCTATGAGTTTTAGGTTTAATCTCAAATGATCCGGACTTTGATTAACTCTGTGGAGATTCCCTTGTAATTGTAAAGCTGATTCGTTACTCAGATCAACAGTCCTTGTCTACTCAGCTGATTTGTGGTCCAACATTGAAAGAGCGTTTGCAAAATGGAGGTACTTTACCGGTATAGATCGATCAGAAAGCTTTAGTGTGTAATCCCTAGGACCAAACTGTAGCTGTTCTTGACGAATTTTCATCCAAACCACGGAATTTATCGACGGCCATTTACTTTTACGCTTTATTTGCACATCACAGGGTAAAATTGAGATGGAAATGGAAATCGTGACGAAAGCGGAAGAAGCACTCCGACCGGCCGGACGGGCGCGTGAAGATCCGAACGCAAACCCGCATCTCGAGCCACCGAAGTGAGTCTCCTATCCTCGCCAGTGACACCACAATCCATCTGATTACTCATGAGAATTGAGTGAGGTTGGGTGGGTTCAGAAGATGAGCTTATGATCTCAAGTATATAATTCCTCAAAGCCGGAGGGCACATTGTTAAATTACGAAGATGAAACGTAACTAAACTTTCTGTCAATTACTTAATCAGCAAAACCCTAGCAATTAAAAGAGAGCTAATCATCTTGCACGCCAACTTATCAAGGGTATGAAAGTATCGGCCGTACTTATCCATTATGGTGGATAAGCGGATGATCAAAACACGCATGTTGAAACTTTTCTGGAACTCGTTGGAGTGACAGACCAGTGATTGTTCGCGTCAGCCTCATTTGTTGTCAACTAGTTTGTCACTCAATAAAATCCTCTCTAATTCTGCGGAATTTACGAAAGATCATAACTTTTCTCACATTATGTTGCCCATGATGCAGGTGAGTCTTGGTTTTTTTTGGGGGGGGGGAAGGAATTTCCATCACCTAAAACCAGAAGCAGCCATTTTTATCGCACCATACGGATAATCGGGGTGTATTGGGCGTCTTAGACGTTTGCCTCCGTCCGAAGGGTGTATGATCCGATGAATTGGACACCAGCCCCAAATGGATTGCGGTTTTCACACCGCCCCGCTGCCTTGCGGGTCATGCTTTTGCTAACTGAAGGTTCCGGTTGTGGATTCCTCAAGAAAATTCACCTGCCTGGCAGTATTCAGCTCACAAGCCAATCATGGAACGTTTTTCTTTTTATAAAGATTAGTGTATCATGATTTGTTTTACATATAGTCTGGCCTCAGACCGGTGTGAAATATAATATAATATAATATAATATAATATAATATAATATACTACTGTCAGTCCGTCCATGTGTTGTTTTTATTTATTACGCCCGCCAACCGGTTGCCGTTTCTCACACAGAGTTAAGGTTTCAATCAATAACTCTGTTTAAACAAAAACAGAAATACAATCAGGAGTATTGGTTTGAACCCATGCACCAGGTTCGGATAATTGTTTTCCAGTTACTATATTACTACGCTGGAATCTCACTCCGTCAAATCCTTCACCTGCATTGTCATCTACCCTCGTTTCAGTCGACCGGAAACTTCCTTCCTTTGGTTCACATCCCCTTGGAAGACTTTCAAATTCATTGTGTGGAAGAAGTGCAAATGGGTGTTCATTGGCATCATCATCGCTATCCTGGTTGGCTTGCTGATCGCCCTGTTCATCTACGCCATCCCGGTGAGTGCATTTCGTTTTAATGGGAAACAAATCGGACAATACAGGGTCCATCGCGTACATTACAGCCCAGAATACCCCGCTGATTCAATCATTCCTTCATTAGTTGATTCACCCGTGGGTAGACCTTAACTGTCACGTGGTATGTATCACGTGACATGTCATACGCATCATTTTCATCGATCGATATTGACCAGTATTGAACCAACTGATGCACTGAGGTCGCATTCAACCTTGGTGATCAAATAGTCTTAAATGTGCAAACATGAATAAGGGAACATCTCGAAATACTCGGGACTGAGTAGACGAAATGGAAAGCGTATGGAAAACCATCCAGGTAGAATCATCAATAGTGCACTAGTAATCAGTGTCAATAATTCTTTGATTAAACAATTATGTGTATTTTGACTTAGCTTTGTATAATGAGCCGATATCTTGATAAATTGGTTACGCAATTTGTTTACCATTACCATGTAATAAAAAAGGAAGTAGATTTTTATGCATGTTGCTACCGGTTATTTTTGATAGCATAGAAAAAGCAGTTGGTTTATTTTTCGCTATTCTTTACCATCCCGTTTGGCTGCTGGATAATTACTTCGCATATGGACCACTTTGCTCGTGTTATGACTCAGAGAGGAAATTCCAATTGACGTGACTGAGCCTGAAGATATAAAAACAAGAAATAATTTCAGTTTTTTCTCTATTTCCCTTATCACATTTGTTTCATATTTTCTTTCACAATAGCAACTTTTGGCAAGAAAAATGGTTGGTGTCTAAATTGGCAAAGGAACGCAATACTACTTTCTCCAGCCCATCGTGAGTGTTTCGTAAGCATTGGCTCATTCCTGTCCCGTTCAAGTACTCTGTTGAACTTTTGTTGCTGTGAGAGCCACTCAGTGTCCTTGTGGATTGGGAAGGGACAAGACACAGCAAAAAAGGCAAATCACCACCACCACCACTGGCACAACAGCAACAAAAACATATCCACACTGGCTTCCGTATTTTCTTCTTATTTTTCATATTTGCCATTATTCATATCCTTGTCCCATCCACCCCCCACACACCTCCAACCCTCGGAAACATACCCACAATTTGTTCGGTATTGCTAATCGATACTGATAAATTGGATGCGTATGTGTACCTGTTCATTAGTTTGCCCTTTTGTATGTTTTCTTAATCCCTTCACCAGCCTTGCCCTCCTGCCCCCCCCCCAAAAAA